ATCGTCCGACCTTGTATGCTGGATTGCACTATTTCACTATATTAAGGGGAGAGGGCGCCTTCACACACATATTCGGTGTGAAATATTTTCCGCCCACAAGCGGAGCGCTTCGGCGCCTCTGCGAAGCAAAGCGCGGCATTCAAAAACAACAACCAAAATTGCCGTCGCTTCCCTGCCCTGCAATGGCTGGAGCAGAAGGAGAGAGATTTTAGTCTCATTGGATCAGAGGAATGGCAGTGGAGCGGGCTTATGGGGCGTAGGCTCGCGATCTATCAATTACACTTGCCAGGTCTCTCTTCCGTTTGGACATTATTTACTCCGTCTCTCTCTCGGCACACACGTCGCCACCCTACTAGTTTCCATCACAGCTGTCTGCTGTCTGCCCAACTTAGCGGACTTGCGTTGGCTGATCAACCCGTCTTCGCGTCTGTGCCGGCCTTCAATGCAGCGCCCAACCGTCTCTTGACCGAGATTCATTGCACTATTCCACGCGCAAACGGCTACCCTAAATGTGCATAGACAACGCTCATGGTTCAACACGACCAGGGCGCAGTCTGGGAGCCGAGTATACTAAAAAGAGAGTTTAGCAGCCAAAACTCGTCAAAGCACACGTTGGGTTACCCCATCACCTAACAACGATGATGGTGGTTCCCACCCGTGAAATACACAACCTAACCAATATTGGGCGACGATGGCGCTCATGAGCCCACGTCCCCACAAACAGTAAGAGAAAGAGAGAGAGGAGGAGATGGGCCAATGTGCGGTCCCTCGCCCAATGTCTTATGCCTCGCTGGGGCAAAGAGAAGAGAAGAGGAGCGGATAAGGGAGGAGATTGGCCAACGTGCGGTCCCTCGCCCAATGTCGGCTGCCTCGCTGGAGCTGGGTAAAGAGGAGAGGAGCGGATAAGGGAGGAGATTGGCACACACGGTGGCGCTGCCGGCGCCGAGGATAGCAAGAGAAGGTGCAGTTTGATCTGATCATCTGGTTTGCTATTTCTCTAAGGCCAACGTGCGGTCCCTCGCCCAATGTCGGCTGCCTCGCTGGGGCAAAGAGAAGAGGAGAGGATAAGGGAGGAGATTGGCACACACGGTGGCGCTGCCGGCGCCGAGGATAGCGAGAGAAGGTGCAGTTTGATCTGATCATCTGGTTTGCTATTTCTCTAAGGCCAACGTGCGGTCCCTCGCCCAATGTCTTCTGCCTCGCTGGGGCAAAGAGAAGAGGAGCGGATAAGGAGGAGATTCGCCAACGTGCGGTCCCTCGCCCAATGTCGGCTGCCTCGCTGGAGCTGGGGCAAAGAGGAGCGGATAAGGGAGGAGATTGGCACACACGGTGGCGCTGCCGGCGCCGAGGATAGCAAGAGAAGGTGCAGTTAGATCTGATCATCTGGTTTGCTATTTCTCTAAGGCCAACGTGCGGTCCCTCGCCCAATGTCTTCTGCCTCTCTCTCAATCTCACTATTTTGGCCGCCGTGATAGGCGCCGCCAACAGCAGCAGCTACCTGGTTGATCCTGCCAGTAGTCATATGCTTGTCTCAAAGATTAAGCCATGCATGTGTAAGTACAAGCCGATTTAAGGCTAAACCGCGAATGGCTCATTAAATCAGCTATGTTTCATTGGATCTGTAAACCCACTTACTTGGATAACTGTGGCAATTCTAGAGCTAATACATGCAATTGGTCTCTGACCGCAAGGGAAGAGCGCTTTTATTAGTTCAAAACTGGTCGGGCCCCGGTCCGTAACCCACCTGTGGTGAATCTGAATAACTTCGGGCTGAGCGCACGGTCTCCGCACCGGCGCCGCTTCTTTCAAGTGTCTGCCTTATCAGCTTTCGATTGTAGGTTATGCGCCTACAATGGCTATAACGGGTAACGGGGAATCAGGGTTCGATTCCGGAGAGGGAGCCTGAGAAACGGCTACCACATCTAAGGAAGGCAGCAGGCACGCAAATTACCCACTCCCGGCACGGGGAGGTAGTGACGAAAAATAACGATGTGAGTCTCATCCGAGGCCTCGCAATCGGAATGAGTACACTTTAAATCCTTTAACGAGTATCCATTGGAGGGCAAGTCTGGTGCCAGCAGCCGCGGTAATTCCAGCCCACATAGCGATATTATTAAAGTTAAGGCGGTTAAAAGTTCGTAGTTGACTCAGTTCCGACTGACGTGCACCGCCCGTGTTTACTGGGTCACGCCCGAAGCGTCTGCTGCTCGCACGGGATGCTCTTTTGTCGAGTGTCCCGAGGGTCGGAGAGTTTACTTTGAAAAATTAGAGTGCTCAGAGCAGGCTATTTGAATGGCCCGAATGGTGATGCATGTGGAATAATGGAATAGGACCCGGTTCTATTTTTGTTGGTTTCGGAACCAGAGGTAATGACTAATCGAACAGGCGGGGGCATTCTGTATTATGACGCCAGGAGGTGAAATTTCTGAATCGTCGCAAGACGAACTACTGCGAAAAGACGGCTAAGGATGTTTTCATTAATCAAGAACGAAAGTTAGGAGGTCTGAAGGCGATCAGATACTTGCGTAGTTCTAACCATATAAATCGATGTTAACCAGCTGACCACAAGAGTTCTATGACCCGGCGTGGCAGCTTCCGGAAACCAAAGTCTTTGGGTTCCGGGGAAGTATGGTTGCAAAGCTGAAAACTTAAAGGAATTGATCGCAAAGGGCACCACCAGGAGTGGAGCTCGCGCTTAATTTGACCTGCCAACAGGGGAAAACCTCACCAGCCCAGACACCGAAGGATTGACATTGAGATTTTTTCTCGATTCGTGGGTGGTGGCGCGGTCACCTTAGTTGGTGGAGCGATTTGTCTGGTTAATTCCGATAACGAACGAGACTCTGGCCTACTAAGTAGTCGACGGATCTCCAGAAAATGGTGTCCGAGTTCGCAACTTCTTCTAGAGGGATAAGCAATTTAGCTGCACGAGATTGAGCAATAACAGGTCTGTGATGCCCTTAGATGTTCTGGCTCTAATGCCACACTGAAGGGATCAACGAAGTTTTCCTCCAGAGGAGCGGGTAACCTGTCTAAAAGCCTTCTTGGATAGGGATTGGGGCTTGTACCTCGTTTCCTATGAACGAATTCCCAGTAAGTGCAAGTCATCAGCTTGCGCTGACTACGCCCCTGCCCTTTGTACACACCGCCCGTCGCTACTACCGATTGAATGATTTAGTGAGGCCTTCGGACTGGCGCTCTTGGATTGTCGGCCCCGTTGCCCGCGAGGGTTTTCTGGGGTCGTCGCCTCGAGCTGACGGAAAGATGTCCAAACTTGATCATTTAGAGGAAGTAAAAGTCGTAACAAGGTTTCCGTAGGTGAACCTGCGGAAGGATCATTAACAGAGAGAAAGAGAACGGGGCGCTCTTAAAACTACTACTACTACTCATCTGATTTGGGCGGTCTCGGGCTCTGCTCTGGCAACTCCAGCAGCGAAAGAGGACAATCCCGGCCCCCGCACCAAAAATAGGTACCACCACGCTGTAGGTGGACCACACTCGGGCGAGAGCGCGAAGACCGGAGGAGGAGGACGGACGGGGCTTTGGACGGCTGCCCGTCCGTTCCTTACTACCGGCGAATAAGCCTCTTGACCCAAAAAGAGTGAAATTCAAGTGTCCAAAAACAACAACAAGTCGTCCGGCCAAACCCAAAACTACGAACTTGGGCTATGTCTGTCAAACCCTTTCTATTGAGACTCGACCCAGATGGTTAGTCGCAAAGCACCAAATGGCAAATACATACAACCCTTAACGGGGATCACTCGCCTGTGGTCGATGAAGACCGCAGCAACCGCGTGGTCGGGTATGAATCGCAAGAATACCAGATACATCGACAAGCGAACGTATACGCAGTGCGGCAGCCATACGATGAAAACGCCGCCACTTCCACGAGGGCCGGTCGGAAATATACATCCATCGGTTGCTGCGAGTTCGTGCCTGCTGACTGTCTCCCCGACACGAGGGTAACCCGAACCGAGCTTCCGCCTTGGGGTTTAATCGCCCGCGCCTTGCGCGAGGCGTGCCCTTAAAAACAAGCAAGCCTATCACTAGCAAGTCCATGGACTTGGCGCACCCACATTCAACCACAACAAAGCGACAGTTGTCGCCCTCGCAAATAACTGGAGGCGGCGCTCTTTTGCCTGCTGTCCACAGAGACACGAATGGCCGTCGGCCGCTCATGGCTGATGCTGCACATGTTCTAAGAGGCACTCCATCCCACGAAGAGGAAACGAAACCGGGTCGGATATCTTTTAAGTAAGCCCCGCCGGAATTTCGTCTATCACCTCGAAAAGAGTGCTTGGCATGCATTGCAGTGGAACCTAAATTGATGAGTGCGCCTGGGCCCGCAGTCTACCATGTAGTGGTGCAGGCAGAGAGATGAGAATGCTTGGGTGACGCCGTGCTCTTCCTCACGCGCTCCTCCACCCTCTCCCACGGTCAGACGCGGTGTGGGCGTTCTCTTTGAGAGTTCGCCACGAGTCCACGTCTATCTCATGACTGGGCGGGAGGCAGGGGGAGTTCTCTCTAAACGCGTTAAAGACGGTGTTGCGCCTCATAACGGCGCTCGCCGGGATAGAGCACTAGTTCTGCAGCCGGAAAGGCCGCTCACGCCAATTAATACTGCGACTCGCTCTCTTTCTCCGGATAAACAAGTGCCACTGCTGTGGCATGCGGGAACGGGGAAAGAGGTCAAAGTTTAAGCGGCAAAGGTGCGGCCGAGTAAGGGCGGAACACGAGCGTATATGCATTAAAACTGTGTGTGTATATGACTCTGCGAGAGATGTTCTGCTGGAACACTTTTCCTATTGGCTATTTACCACTCAATGAGAAGGAACGGAGTCAGGGGTGGGAGTGCCGGCGCCATGGCCGCTGGTACCCCCGCGACAAGCCCCTCAAACCTTCCTGCCTGGTAATGTCGGTGGTGAAGAAAGTCGGTGGCAGAGCGTCTTCCGCTTCGTGGTTGGGGAACTTGTTCCCCCTAAGGATGATGAGACCACGAT